CTCGCGGTGCTCTTCCTCCTCGAGCAGCTCCACATCCCCGTCGACGACGACGACGAGGAGGTGGGGGGGGGGGGCCGCCGCCACGAGGCGTCACCCCACTCGATTGCGCCCTCCGCTGCGGCGACCTCGCCGTCGTTCGCGCGATGCTCGCCAAAGGCGCCGTGGATCGCACCGCGGCGGGGGCGGGGTCGTCTCGCGCGCGGTCGACGTTCGCCCTCGCGTGGGATCGGATGCGGCTGCGTTGGTGGGATCGCCAAGGGGTGAACCCCGCGGCGGTGCGGCGGCTGCAGCGCTGCCTCGCGGCGACCCCTTCCCCGCGTCTTCGCGAGGCGCTCTTGGAGGAGGGGGTGAATTGGCTCGGCAACGCCGGCGGCCACCTTCGCGAAGGGCTGCTGCTTTTGATCCTCCCACACGCGTTTTTGTTCGCGTGGTCTGCGGTCTGGGGAGGCGTCCTCGCGATGCCGGTCGGGGTCTGGCTCGTGTTGGTTTGGTTTCTGCGCGTGCAGCAGTCGGATGAGGCGGAGACGGGGTGTCTTTCCTGTCGGAGTGTCTTTTTCACCCTCGGCTTCACCATCGCCCAGATCGCGAGTTTGCTCTACTTCACCGTCTTCTTTGTCTACGAGACGTACGACTTTTATGATTGGTGCTGGCCGCTCTTTTATTGGCTCATCCCTTCCGCGGTGGTGACGCTGTCCACGATGTTCGCCCTCTACGTGAAGTCTCCTGGGGTGGTGGCCTCGACGGAGGGGCAGCGCAAAGGGATCTACGCCAGACTCGATCAGGAGGCGGAAAAGCCCTCGAAGGACTTCTTGAACAGCATCTCCCTGCACGCAATGGTGAATAAACCGCTTCGCGCGCAGTGGTGCCCACATCTGCAACGCGTCGTGTTGCGGTATGATCACTATTGCGCGTACTTCGGGAACACGATCGGCGCGCGAAACCACAAGTGCTTCCTGCTGTTCCATCTCGCCTACCTCTCCTTGCTCGGATCCTTCTACTACTACGCGTGGCATTATCAGCAAATCTGCGCTGTCGCCTCCCATCTGTTGTGGAAAGCGGTGAACTCGAAGACCAGACTGTCAACGGAATTAGATCTGACCCTTTATGCTAAAGGAATCTGCATCTCAACGGCGGTTGAGCGCTTTGGATATCTCTACACGCAGCTAATCCTCCCGCTTATGATGATTTTGGTGGCATACAAGCTGTTAGTTCAGCTCCGACATATATCGCGCAGTCTCACCGTCTTCGACGTCGAGCACGCAGAGGATAAAAGTAGCGCATACTGCTTTCGCGTCGGTGATACGGTGTATAGCCTCTTCGATACTGGTTATTGGTGGAAGAATATGCTGAAGTTTTTCTTCCAACCGCTTGACGAGGTCGTCTACCGCGTTCCTCAGATGAATGAGAACCTGAAAAAGATTGTATCGGAGTACCGGCGCTGGAATCGAGAATGTGGTGGCTGCTCTCGAGGATGTCACGCGAGGAACCCAGAAAACGCAGCGAACCCATCCTCGTGTAATAAAAAGGTAATAGATGGTGAGGGCGGACATGAGAAAGACTTTGCTATTTGAGATATCGACTCATGCGCTAAGTAGGGAAAGATGCGATAGAAAAAATCACATCGATTCCCCGACGCGCATACACTCTTGGCGGTATAGTGGCTTCTATAGTACAAAAAAAAAATGAAGTTATAATAAGTATAATGCTTTAAATTTTATATAATGGAATTGAGTCGCTGGTACTTTACTTCCATGTATTAAGGATGTGTTTCCCCTTCGATTTTGGTGAGGCTTCCTTATTATAGCAGTATTGCTCATCTCTATAATTGCTATGTGTTATTATTTATTCTGAAATTTCAACAGATAAAATACCGTTCCCCGTGCTATAGCATTTCTGACCTGCATTGCCACCTTTTTTTTTACCATCCCCTTCTCGTCTTTTTTTATGAACGTTGCACATTCTGTGTCTCCTACTGGCTTGGAAGGGATAAAGGATCGTATTTGTAGAGTGGGCTCACCTCTTCTAAGGAAAAAAAAACAGAAAGGTAGAAGTCTCCTCGGACCTTCAGCCCACCCCAATCACCTCCATCACTCTCAGCACAGTGTGGGATAGGAAAGCCTTTTGGGGGTTTATTTATTTGTGTTCGTGTGTCTCTTGAAATTCGATTTGATAGGACGTCCTTTCTGTCGAGTATATCCCATAAACCAAATAGAGAAAAAAAAGCCATTAAACAAATATATACAGCTAAATCACACACAAAGGGTCAAGTTGATATCTATAACCTGTCTATTGATACATAGACAGACTAATAGGTATATAGAGAACGAGAGAGGTTCATATATCTATCTGTATATATATATATATATATATACATATATCTATATACATTTATGTATAGGAGCTTCAAGAAGAAAATTAACGACAAAAAAATGATTCATGATAAGGAATCAAATAGTGATGCTCACAGTTGTGGTTCTCAGAATAGTGAAACCGTCGGTCGACGGGGCGGCTTAGCGCCCCATTGCTCAAGCGCGACCGCGGCAAATACCTCTCCTCACGAAGGGGAAGGATCCCCCCACCACGTCGACGCGAGAGCGAACGTTTTTAGCTGGCAACGGGAAGAACCCCGACCGCCCTATTCTTGGCAAAACTCCGACCCTTCACCATCCCCAGCCTCGACCTCCCGCGAGATCGCGAGCGGCGTGCCGCCAACGGAAGCGGAAGAGGTGGCCAAAGGGGGGAAGAAAGCAGAGACGGTCGCCCTAGGGAGTGGAGCAGGCTCGTCGGCCTCATCGAAGAATTTGTATCTTCCACCCCACGTGCGGCTTCTTTTAGCGCGGGCGATCGAGCGCAGGAGCCGTTCCGGAGTGGCAACGGAGAAGACCACCCCCTCACCTCGTCGCTCGGCGGGCGCGAACTGCCCGCTGAGCGAGGAGGCCCTCGACGGCGATCTTTCCACGGGATTGCGGGAGGGAGGGGATGGGAAGAGGACCCCGCCGCATCCTCCGAAGGCCGCCTCCTCGCCGGCGAGTGAGCGGGCAATCCCTCGAAACGAACGCGAAGGCGACGACGACGACGACGACGGCGGAAGCAGAAGAAGAAGGGGGGGCTCTGGCGGGAGCAGCCCCTCGGATGTGGGGAGCAGTTCGCCTTTGAAGAAACGGCCGAGCCCGGATGGCGGGGATCCGCCGGGGGATCCCGATCCTCCTCGAGGCGTGGGTGCCCTGCCGAGGCCCGCGACGCAGCGCGCCGATCCCAGCCGCCACGGGGACGCGTTGCCGCGGCTTTTGACGCCCTCCCAGATCGCGCCCGCCTTCGCCGGCCCGGTCGGGATGGAAGGGGAGCCTCCATCGTTTCCCCCGCCTCAACCCCAGCCTCAACCTCAAGCGCCGCCCTCCCAACCCCAGGCACCGGTGATGCCGCCGTTTTACAAGTTCTCCAGCACCCTCGCGGATTACGTCGAGGCGTGCCTGACGCTCTCCCCGCGCGATCTCCTCCTGCGGGAGCGGCTTTTCGGCCACATCCAGACCATCGCGCGGCGCACCCTCGCGAGCGAGGCCGTCGAGGTCCGCGTGCACGGCTCCCTCACGACGGGGCTGGCCCTCCCGAGCAGCGACCTCGACCTCCTCGTGACGGCCTACGCGCCGCACTCCCCGATGGACGCGCTGCAGCTCCTCTCACAGGCCTTCGTGCAGGCCGAGGCAGGGGGAGGGGGGAGGAAGGGGGAAGGGGGAAGGGGAAGGGGAAAGGGGGGCCGCCCCCGAGACGACGACGCCGCCGGAAAAACGCGAAAAAGACGCCGGCGACGGCGACAAACCCGCGGCGCGGCGGCCCCTCATCGAGGCGTTGGAGCTCGCCAAGG